CACAAGAGCTACTCAAGTGTGTGTGTGTGTATGATGTGTGTTATTTAATTTTTTGTGTGTTCCCTGGTGACCCAGTTTAAGGGTAGGATGGCCCTGTCACCACGGTAAACCCAGGGGGAGAACCCAGTACAATACCCTGGTACTATACCTTTTAATCGTTAGTGGTGTAGTGTATCTTAGTGCTCTCCTCTCCATCCCGTTCCCTCCACTGCAGCCCTGCGCCCTCTCAGACGTCCATAAAATACGTTTCAGAGAGGGACGAACTGCAGTGTGCCCTCCCCCCCCCCCCCCCCCCCCCACACACACACGCACATATAGTGTGAAAGAGGTGCAGCACCGAACAAGGTAGAGACAACGTGAAGTCCCACACTCAACATATGGTGTTTTGTACACACACTCTTGTGCGGCACAGCTCCCGCACACGGGCAGTCGGGCACACACACACCCTCTGCCACAGTGCGGTGGGGCACTGCACTATATTCCTCACGAGTGGTTTACAAAAATGGCATTGTAGCAGTAGTTTATAACCGTGGGATAGTGTAGTAGGACCAGGAGCATGCTTTTATTCTCCATATGTGCCCATGTCTTTACACTCTCTATTGAGATTAGATGTCTGTATTAATTACTCCTCACTGTGGAAGTGTGTGTGTGTGTGTGTGTGTGTGGTCTTAGGCCATTGGAGAATTGAACAGTATCTGTTCTGTAAATTCCTGGTTGAGTGTTAGTATGTGGGACTGCTCACCGTATGTGTGTGTAGTCAATGCTGCTCGTATTCCAGGGTGATCGTGTTCTGAGTACTAGGCCTGTCTGTGGGGCTAAATGTTTACAGAATGGAAGTATGGGGCTCTCACAATACAGAATGGAATCATTTATGAATTTAGATGGGTTCTGGTTATTGGCCTAGTATTTTAGTTGGGACACTGTAGGCTACAGTAGATGGTACTTGAATCATATGATACAATTTACATTGTGCTATATTTGTATTGTACTGTAATAAACAGGTTAATCTCCTGTTATTGCCTTTTTTTGTGATTGAGCCAGAATCAACTGATCTTTATCAAGGCCAGTAAATAATCATTGTCTTTTCCCAGAACAACCTATGCTTTACATTTCTCACAGTAATTTTTCTGAAATCCAAAACATATCAATGTATAAAGAAAAAAAATGTGGGGCACATACAGACAGTTACTTTGACTTTATTAAGTCTATTTTTGCAGGGACAATGCCTATTAATAGATGGCAGGTAGCCTAGCAGTTAAGAGCGTTGGGCAAGTAACCGAAAGGCCGCTGGTTCGAATTCCAGAGCTGGCAAGGTGGAAAAATCTGCCGTTCTGCCCTTTATCAAGGCAGTTAACCCCCAACAACAACTGCCCCCCGGGCACCGATGACGTGGACGTCAATTAAACCAGCCCCCCCCCCCCCGCACCTCTCTTATTCAGAGGGGATTGGGTTATTATTAAATGCGGAAGACACATTTCAGTTGAATGCATTCAGTTGTGCAACTGACTAGGTATCCCCTTTCCAAAATCAACTGTCTCGGCTTTAGCCAGCCAGCAAATTTTCGACCGTAGTCGAATAACCTGAGCAGGTTATTAAAAACACTTCAAATGACAAGACAGACAATAAGCACATGCAGAGCAGCATATGAGAAGTAACACTTAGCACGCAGACAGACAGACAGACAGAGCAATAACATAAAAAGCAACCAGTTCTTTGGAATTGTGGTCTTAAATAAAAATCAACATTTAGGATTGATAAAAAATATACTACTTTTAGCCTTGGATGGTTGCTGACCTCTCTGTAGCAGTATTCAACTGAAACCTTGCCCAGGATCAACACACTGACCTTGGACTGATACTTCACACTCAATCTTGTACCACACACTACTTCCAGGCAGTGTTTCCCCTATATTCATTTAGCAGTGGCAAGCCATCGCTGCTAAATCGTTGCCCCCATATATACATATATATAATATATGTATATTATTATATTATATATTATATATTATATATATATATATATATATATATATATATATATATATATATATATATATATATATAAAGATCTGGATGGTTAAACATTGTCAGTGTAAACTTTAACGGCTAAAAACAGATATAAAGTATTTAGAAAAGATAAAGGAGCAATATCTTTTTAAATAAGATAATCTTTGAGAACTAACAATCACCAATAAAAACTAGACAGTTAGAGAGAATCTAAAATTCTAAAAATGTCAAGGCCATTGATTTTGTTATAATGTTTGAGTCACTCAGATAGCATAAGAACACGGCATAAGCCATGGCAACATTTGTAGAATTACAGGAAATTAGCTTTAAAACTGTCTGCAAATGTTCTCTCAGCTCCATGGCAAAATACGTAGAATTGCAGGAAATTAGCTATAAAACATTTTTAAAAATTCAGCCCCATGACAAAATGTGTAAAATTGCAGGAAACTAGCTTTAGTACACCAACATTTTGTCTCTGCAGCCAAGAGTAGGGCCTTTCAAATCTTTGGTTGGAGACGTACAGTTGGCCACGCCCACTACCACGCTATGCTAACTTTGCCACCCCTGCTGGAAAAAATCCTAGGGGAAACACTGCTTCCAGGAATAGATGAATGGTCACTAACCTTGAATTTTTAGTATGTGGAGTAATAAAACAGAAAAAAATACAAATGAAATGTAGCCTACAGTACACACACACGCTAAGGGCTATACAGTGCAACCATTTTACTCGCATCTGCGCCTAAATAATTTGCTGTGCGACCTGGAATTAAAATGTAGGACCACCAGTGCGCCTAGAAAAAAAATCACCCAGATCATGATTGTTGCAATGATTATTTCACTGTACCGCAGCCCCTGAGTGGAGAATACACTGAGCGCAGATTCATGACCGTCATGCTTGCACCATTATTACAAAGAAAACATCTTGTTGCCTCAAATATTTTTTCTAAATTTCTTTGTGTGCTACTACATTTTTCAACATAGGCGCACAGGTGCTCCTTGTAAAAAAGTTCAGTGTAGAGCCCTGCCACTTTCTTATCAGCTGAAGCCAAGAGCATTTTTAGAAACCATGATCATGACCAAACACATTTTTGGGGCTTGAGATCAGATCCCTGACTAGCTCCCTCCCCTGACTCCTCCAGCACGTATCTCACCACATGCCTACACTCACCACGTCCCTACACTCACCACAACCAGGGACAGGAGGTTTTCCTCACAACGTCCCTACACTCACCATAACTAGGGGACAGGAGGTTTTCCTTCACCACGTAACCATAATTGCTCTACTTTCAGGCCAGATGTCATTCTAATGAATGAATCAGGCTATCCAGTTATTTTAGCCGAAGGGAGAGAAAGTGCCGAAAGCCGTAATGTGACGGCCAGGGGCCTGAGAGTGTGAGAAAGGCTGAGGGAGTTTGTAACAGCCTCACAGGAAGTGGATGTTAAACTAAATACTGAAGATGTTATGGTGTACAACAGGAAGCATGGGTTATGCACATGTGTGAGCCGTTTTTAGCATCGTAAACAAACAGTTAAAACACGGTGTGTCTTAAAATGACTCTGTTGAAGAATTCCCCTATTAGTCTAACCCTCACTTCATCTCCGAGAAATGTGGGTGTGTTTACATCCGTGTGTGTGTTTTCCTGTGTGTGTGTGTGTGTGTGTGTGTGTGACTGTTTTTGTCCATGTTGTTTTGTGCATCACTGAATAGTGTGCCTGACCGTGTGCCAGGGTAAACATTTTCCCAATATGAGCACATTAAGCCATGCCAGATTATTCAAAATGTGTAGCTTTTTGCCGAAATGTGTGTCTGTGTTTGCCAGTACGAGAAAGAGACAAGGAGACACAAAGAGAGAGAGAGAGAGAGAGAGAGAGAAAGAAAAATAAGAAGGGAAAGAGAGAGTAGGGTCGGGTGTGCTAGAACGAGTGTGGAAAATCCCTATGACTCTATATGGTAAAGGCAGACCTATTGCACAGCTGGCTTACTCTTTTTTCTCTCTCTCACTCTCTCTCGCTCTCCGTTCCATCTCTCTCTCCCTCCATTCTCTCTCCCTCTCTCCCTCTGTTCCCTCGCTCTCTCTGCCGTGTGTAGCCGTCTCTGTGTGTAATCAGCCCTCGGCCTCTGTGAGTGACCTCATCCTGCCCACCATAGAACACCTCTGCCTGATGGGAGTTAAAATAAGACCTGTTTATGCCCCATGTATTGGTGTGTGTCTTTTTGCCTGATGTGTTAATGTGAGCCCAGGAACACACACACACACACACACACACACGTCGCATAGAACAGCATAATCTGGGATTGTGTGTGTGTGTGTGTGTGTGTGTGTGTAGAGAGAGATGAGTTTGTAATACTAGAGCAGTGCTCAGATGTAAAACCATATGAGTCATAGTGACCAAGCTAATGTATTAAATAATATGCATTCAGTTTCTAGTTTAACCTCAATGATGATGCTGCTTTAAAAGCTCTGTTTACTTAGTGGTGTGTTAGTGGAGCCTCATCCACAAATGTTAGGAGCTGTGGCCTTTGAAACATCGTCATCAGCTGCAGTGGAAATCATCAACATTCTTTACTTTCTCAACATGCACATGCACGTACACACTTTAGTGGATTACATGGAGGTGAATGGTAGCATTATGAGCCGGTTGGTGTGAAGTCATTCAGTGCAGTACACTTCCAGGTATGACATCATTTTCTAATCTCAGCTAATTTTGATGGTGAAGATAATAAATGACCACCTGTCTTCTCTCTCTCTCTCTCTCTCTCTCTCTCTCTCTCTCTCTCTCTCTCTCTCTCTCGTCTCTCTGTTTTTAGTCTGAATTTGGGAGAAAGAACAAGGAAGGAAAAAGGGGCAGTGGAAAAGAGAGCGGAAGACCAGGGGGCGCCGGAAAAAGAAAGAAGAAGAGGAAACAGGGTAAAAATAAGAGGAGAGAAAGAAAGGACAGAGCAACCGTCAGCACTCACCCCACGGAGTATAAAGGAAAAGACAAGGTGAAGAGATGAAGCCACTAAAGAAACAGGGGGGGCGCTCTCCCCCCTCCACACGGGCCAAAGGGGGGAAGAAGAGAGGGGTGACACAGACCCCCCCAGAGAGGGACAACAGGAACAAACTCAGGAAGGAGAACCAAGACGGACAGCCTCAAACCACGCCCCCCGCCCACTCGCCACAGAAACAATCCACAACCACCTCTGACAGCTCTCAGCGGGAGTCAATCAGAGGCAGCGAGACCCCAAAGAAGGAGGGGCCTAGAGAGCAGCTGCCGCCAAGGCAACCTGAAGATAAAGAGAAGACCGAGGACAACAGAAGGGGGGGTTGGGGGTAAACCAGGGGGGCCTAACAGCACCCCCACCACCACCCATAACAACACCCTCACCATCCCCACCCCCACTACCAGTCCCAGCCCTACCTCCATGTCCAGTAGGAAAACAGCCACCTTCAAGGCCAGAGTCCCCAAGAAGAAGTACATCGCTGAACACTATGCTAGGTAGCAACGCGCCCAGCCTCACCTTCACCCCTGCCCCCATGCACAACAGCCACAGTAACTACAACAGCAGCAGCAGTAACAACAGTAGTACTAGCAGTAGTATTAACATCATCAACAGCAGTAGTACTAACAATAATAATACCATTAGTAACAGTAGTAGGACTAACACTACTATTAATGGTATTAACAGTGGTACTAACAGCATTAGTAACAGCATTAGTAACAGCCATAGTAGCAGCTCAGTCAGCCACTCAGTAGCCCCCAGTGTGTCCAATGAGGAGAGGAATGTAGCCGCTAGCAGCCACAGCCATGGCCCGGGGGAACAGGGGACGACAGGGGCCTCCATAGGGCCCAACAATGGCAGTGTGGCCCCCCAGGACAGAGCGAGAGAGCCCCAGGGTGGGGAGACAGAGGCAGAGGGGGCCCCTAACTCGGTACGCTCCGTATCCACTGATACAGCCAGCGAGCACGATCTGGAGGTGAACTCCCAGCCCAGTACCAGCCCTGCTAGAGCCCCCTACCATGGCAGCCTGCCCCCTTACTCTGCTACTACCTCCCAGCCCGGCCCCAGCCCCAACCAGAGCCACAGAAAGGGCAGTCTGTCAGGGGTGGATGCCCTGGCCAAAGGCCTGAAGAACCAGAGAGTTCTAGCCCGCTGTCGACGGAGAGACAGACTTAACAGAGAGGAAGGCGGGAGGGAGAGAGAGAGGGATGGACCCCTGTCTCCTATGTTCAGGGCTGGGGTGGTGCGGAGGGTAAGTGGGGGCAGCGCTGATATCCAGCTGCAGGGGGAGGAGGGGATACTCTGTTACCCCTTCCAGGGGGGGACCGCACTCCCAGAGGGGGAGAAAACGAGCGTGGAGTTCATCCTGGACGCCCCCCCTCCCGTCATGGCCTCCGTGGCCATTGGGACACGTGTATGTGTGCCTTTCAGAGGGGGAGGGGGGCAAGATGGGGGGGAACAGGGGACACCTCAGCTATACAGAGAAGGGGTGCTGTCCCAGGTAGACCCCCACCCTGCCGTGGCGTTCCCCTACAGGGTGCTACTGTGTGAGGATAGAGAGGCGCTGGAGAATGGAGGGAGGGAGGAGGAGGGAGGGATGGAGGAGGAGAAGAGGAGGAGGGCGCAGGCCCAGGCTGTATGGGTGTCCAGACAGAGCCTGAGGCTGCTGACTGCCCCCTGGGAACTGCCTCACCCAGAGGGGGAGAGGGAGAGAGAGAGGGAGAGGAGGGAGGAGATGGAGGTGGAGAGGGAGGTGGAGAGGGAGAGAGAGAGGGAGGAGATGGAGGTGGAGAGGGAGGTGTGCCAGCTGAGTATTGGGATGGTGCTGGGTGGGCCGATTGGAGGGGGGGCGAGGTTGGTGCACAGCTTCTCTCCAGCTGGGGTGGTGGGGGGGCATCACTATGGAAACGTCCCCCCCCACCCCTCCTCCTCGTTGGTAACGACCAGTGTTGTCGCCAGCACGGGAGAGGGTTACCCTGACAGAGAGAGAGAACAAGAGAGGGAACAAGAAAGAGAGAGACAGAAACAGCCCCACACACCAGAGGAGGACATGGAGGTGTCTAGGTTCAGTATGGGCCCCCAGCATCGCCACATCCTCTCCAAGCCCCTCCTCGGGAGGCACAGCTACCCCTCCTCCCACCACCTATCTGTGGTCCGGGGCCTGGGCACGCCACTGGGCTCTGACCTGTCCCCCCTCACCTTACCTGGCCCTGAGGCCCTGGGCACGACCTCCCCACCACACCTACCCCCTTCCAAGAGCACCCCGGTCCCCCTGGACAAGACCCCCTCCCAGATCCCCACCCCTATCCCTGGAGGGGGGTCTACCTCAACCTCCTCCTCAGCCTCCTCCTCGCGCTCCCGCACCCCCCTGTCGGCCGCCCTGCAGAAGTACAAGAAGGGGGACGTGGTGTGCACCCCCAACGGCATCCGCAAGAAGTTCAACGGCAAGCAGTGGAGACGCCTCTGTTCTAGAGAGGGATGTATGAAGGAGTCCCAGAGACGAGGCTACTGCTCACGCCACCTCTCCATGAGAACTAAAGAGATGGAGGGAGCGGGAGGAGGAGGGGGAGAGAGGGACAGGGGGAGAGGAGGAGGGGGGGGGGGGAGCAGTTCGGGGACGGTCACCCCCTCGGACCTGCGTGGGTTTGACTGGGATGAGACGTCCAGAGACAGCAGCGAGGCCAGCAGTAGAGGAGACTCCCGCCCTCGTCTGGTGCTGCCCTCCCTCCTCCCCCATGACTTCTCCAGGTTTGACTTTGACGAGTGTGAGGCAGCCACCATGCTGGTGTCACTGGGCAGCTCTCACTCTGGGACCCCCTCCTTCTCCCCCATCTCCAACCAGTCCCCTTTCTCCCCCGCCCCCTCGCCCTCACCCTCCCCCCTCTTCGGATTCCGTCCAGCCAACTTCTCCCCCATCACCGCCTCCTCCGTCCTCCCCCCTCCTCGCAGGCACAGACACCCCAGTGCCACGGGGGGCAAGCTGGGCACCCCTGGGGGGGCAGAGAGGGAGAGGCATACCTCAGGGGTCCAGCCTTCATTCCACACTAACCTGACCTTCACCGTCCCCATGAGCCCCAGCAAACGCAAAACAGACGTTCCTCCTCCCCCTCCTCCCCCCTCCCACCCCCACCATGACTACCCCCCCAAACCTGAGCTGGAGCAGGGGGACCTGAACCCTGCCTCATTCCCCGTACTCTCCCCCCAGACCCCAGCACACACCCACGCTTACACACCCACCCTCTCCTATCCCCGAGGGGTGAGCACACCAACCAGCCGGCCCCCCTCCTCCTCCGCCACCTCTCCCCCTCCCCTCCTGGTGTCCCCAACTCCCCTCTCCCCTCCAGACTCAGGCCCTTGCCGTGTCCACCCCACATCCCAGCAGGCCTTGCGGGACTCTCCAGTGATCGTGCGGAACCCGGAGGTACCTCTGGCCAAGTTCACAGAGCATCCATTAGGCCGTGGGGGAGGGGGAGGAGGTGATCCTAAGAATCTTAACAGCGTTACCCCCCAGCTTGTCTCCACTCTCCAAGTCCCTGTACCCATCAATGCTGCTGCTTGCGGCAACCAACGGCACCGTCCTCCTCCAGAGCCCCACCCCCACCCTGGTGCTGGTGTCATCCACCCCGCCCTCCCTGACCTCCGTCACCCCCGGTTACCCCACTCTGGCTTGCATCTCCATCTCCACCACGCCCCCCTCTTCGGGACCCCCCCTGACCAACCCAGCCAGCCCAGGGGGAGGGGGGTGTAGGATGGAGAGGACAGGCTCGTTTGGGGGGGAGGTCCAGCAGCCAGTGGCCTGTCACCCCTCTCCTACAGCCCTGCTGCCCCTCATACTGCCTGCAGAGAACCTGCACCCCACACCATGCAAAGAAATCATCAATTGGACGCCCCGGGACAGGTGAGACACACTGTAGACAGCCTGGACATGAAGGGATGAGATGGGGTAGAGGAACAGGGGTAGGGATGAGATGGGGTAGAGGAACAGGGGTAGGGATGAGATGGGGTAGAGGAACCTGAGATGGGGTAGAGGAACAGGGGTAGGGATGAGATGGGGTAGAGGAACGGGGGAAGGATGAGATGGGGTAGAGGAACAGGGGTAGGGATGAGATGGGGTAGAGGAACGGGGGAAGGATGAGATGGGGTAGAGGAACGGGGGAAGGATGAGATGGGGTAGAGGAATGGGGGTAGGATGAGATGGGGTAGAGGAATGGGGGTAGGATGAGATGGGATGGAGGAACGGGGGAAGGATGAGATGGGGTAGAGGAACGGGGGTAGGGATGAGATGGGGTAGAGGAACAGGGGTAGGGATGAGATGGGGTAGAGGAACGGGGGAAGGATGAGATGGGGTAGAGGAACGGGGGAAGGATGGATGGGGTAGAGGAACGGGGGAAGGATGAGATGGGTGTAGAGGAACGGGGGAAGGATGAGATGGGGTAGAGGAATGGGGGTAGGATGAGATGGGGTATAGGAACGGGGTAGGTATGGGAACTGGAGATGGGGTAGAGGAACGGGGGTAGGGATGAGATGGGGTAGAGGAACGGGGGAAGGATGAGATGGGGTAGAGGAACGGGGGAAGGATGAGATGGGGTAGAGGAACGGGGGAAGGATGAGATGGGGTAGAGGAACGGGGGAAGGATGAGATGGGGTAGAGGAACGGGGGTAGGGATGAGATGGGTAGGGATGCAGGGGGTGAGAGATGCTATGATTATAATGTTATGATTATTTAATGTGACTACTATGCTTTGATTATTGTGTTTAACTCCAGGCGGGGCCTAGGTTGGCATTGTGAAATGGAAGAGCTTTTGAAACGTGAATGCACTGTTTGTTGTAGCAGCAGCAGCATGACAATGGTTACCTAGTTTCATTTTCCACCAAATTCACATTTACGGAACAGGGATTGAACTCTGGGCAGTTAATTTCCATCGTCAAAAAACAGAATGAGTTTAGTGACATGGATTTAGTGAAGGGAGGGTACTGGGATGTCTGGTCTGCTCATAAGGGCTTACGATCCGTGCTATCCGGGATCCTTGGAACGTCCCTAACCAATTGACATTTTAAAATAGTTAAGGTTAGGGTTAGGGTTAGGGTTAGGGTAGGGATCAAGTTTAGGGTTCGGTTATGGATGTCCGAAGGATCCCGGATAGCACTGACAGTAACAAGGAAGGGCTGGTCAGTGACTGTTGAGTCAAAGTAGGGAAATCAGTTAAGTTTTAAGAAATTGTGTTTATGTGGGTATAAAATACAAGCTATACTGGATGTAATGTAGGCCACATACGGACCGTTTCCACCATCTCTCGCTGCGTGTGTGTGTCATCATCGTTTGAGACTGGGTTTAGATAGAGAGTGGGGAAGGCCTCTGAAAGAGAGGATTGGAGGATGAATGACATTTGGGGTTTTGTCTTTGAGAGAATGCTACCGACATGAATCCTCTCAGGATTGTGTGTGTGAGTGTAGTCCCATCTCTGCAGTGCCATCTGACTGTAAGAAGGGGTACAGTCCCAGTTAGGATACTGTATGTAGGCTACCACTGCACTAGTACGGTCAGTTCTACCACTCTGGTGTGTGTGTCAGTTCCTCTAATAAACAATAGGGCATTATTGACAGGGGTTAATCCCACAGGAGAACCAGAGGTGGGTCAGTGTGTGTTGTGTGTGTGTCTAAAGAGATGGAGGGATGGTTTGGTTAGCTGCCTTTCCCCAGAGGCTATTATCTACTCACGCCACTTTACATTTTAGTCATTTAGCAGACGCTCTTATCCAGAGTGACTTACATGAGCAATTAGGGTTAAGTGCCTTGCTCAAGGGCACATCGACAGATTTTTCACCTAGTCGGCTCGGGGATGTTGTTCACTTATCAATGATGTATTGTGTGTGTGTGAGCATTTGAGCGTGTATGTCTGTGTGTTTGTCTGTGTGTGTGTGTGTGTCTGGCCTAGTATGAAGGGGTAAAATAAGGTCTGGGAGGTATTTTTGAGTGAGTTGCGTTGGGCTCGTCCATTTTAGAGTTGTGTGTGTTTGAGTGCGCACATTACAGTGCCAGAGTGCATGTGGGTGTGTAAAGAATCCACTGTGGGTCAAGCTCCTGTGTGGGCTCTCTCTTTCTCTCTATGTGTGTGTGTGTGTGTGTGTGTGTGTGTGTGTGTGTGTGTGTGTGTGTGTGTGTGTGATCAATAAACAATGAATCAACATTTCTCTATCTGCACTGGAGCAGTGGTGTTTCATTTAGACGGCCTGTTGTATTCAGTGTGTGTGTTTCATTTAGATGGCCTGTTGTATTCAGTGTGTGTGTTTCATTTAGATGGCCTGTTGTATTCAGTGTGTGTGTTTCATTTAGATGGCCTGTTGTATTCAGTGTGTGTGTTTCATTTAGACGGCCTGTTGTATTCAGTGTGTGTGTTTCATTTAGATGGCCTGTTGTATTCAGTGTGTGTTTCATTTAGATGGCCTGTTGTATTCAGTGTGTGTGTGTGACTGTATGTATTGTAGGTCTAGCTATTTGTCTGTCTTTGCGAGACACGTGTATGTGGGTGTTTTCTCTCTCTTGAGAGAAAGAGGGTGAGTTGTTGTTTGTGCGTGTGGTTGTCAGAAAGAAACTAGGGAGAAGTGTGTATGCTTACTGTGTAGTTACGATAAGCTTTGAGTGTAAATTACACATACGAACAGGCCTCTGCAATACTGCTACACACACATAACAAATAGCCTAACATATTGCAGATAAAAGTGACATTATATACTGAACAAAATATAAACGCAACATGCAACAATTTCAACGACTTTACTGAGTTACAGTTCATAGAAGGAAATCAGTCAATTGAAATAAATAAATGAGGCCCTAATCTATGGATTTCACATGACTGGGCAGGGGTGCAGCCATGGGTGGGCCTGGGTGGGCACTTGGGAGCCAGGCCCACCCACAAAAGGGCTTTATTACAGACAGAAATACTCCTCAGTATCATCAGCTGGCCGGGTGGCTGGTCTCAGACGATCCCACAGGTGAAGAAGCCGGGTGTGGAGTTCCTGGGCTGACATGGTTACACGTGGTCTGCAGTTGTGAGGCCGGTTGGACGTACTGCCAAATTCTCTAAAACGAGGCGCCTTATGGTAGAGAAATTAACATTAAATTATCTGGCAACAGCTCTGGTGGACATTCCTGCAGTCAGCATGACAATTGCACACTCCCTCAACACTTGAGACATCTGTGGCATTGCGTTGTGTGACAAAACTTTACATTTTAGAGTGGCCTTTTATTGTCCCCAGCACAAGGTGCACCTGTGTAATGATCATGCTGTTTAATCAGCTTCTTGATATGCCACAACTGTCAGGTGGATGGATTATCTTGGCAAAGCAGAAATGCTCACTAACAGGGATGTAAACAAATTTGGACACCAAATTTGAGAGAAATAATATTTTTGCGTGTATGGAAAATCTCTGGGATCTTTTATTTCAGCTCATGAAACATGGGACCAACACTTTACATGTTGCGTTTATATATATATATATATATATATATATATATATATATATATATATATATATATATACACTGCTCAAAAAAATAAAGGGAACACTAAAATAACACATCCTAGATCTGAATGAATTAAATAATCTTATTAAATACTTTTTTCTTTACATAGTTGAATGTGCTGACAACAAAATCACACAAAAATTATCAATGGAAATCAAATGTATCAACCCATGGAGGTCTGGATTTGGAGTCACCCTCAAAATTAAAGTGGAAAACCACACTACAGGCTGATCCAACTTTGATGTAATGTCCTTAAAACAAGTCAAAATGAGGCTCAGTAGTGTGTGTGTCCTCCACGTGCCTGTATGACCTCCCTACAACGCCTGGGCATGCTCCTGATGAGGTGGCGGATGGTCTCCTGAGGGATCTCCTCCCAGACCTGGACTAAAGCATCCACCAACTCCTGGACAGTCTGTGGTGCAACGTGGCGTTGGTGGATGGAGCGAGACATGATGTCCCAGATGTGCTCAATTGGATTCAGGTCTGGGGAACGGGCGGGCCAGTCCATAGCATCAATGCCTTCCTCTTGCAGGAACTGCTGACACACTCCAGCCACATGAGGTCTAGCATTGTCTTGCATTAGGAGGAACCCAGGGCCAACCGCACCAGCATATGGTCTCACAAGGGGTCTGAGGATCTCATCTCGGTACCTAATGGCAGTCAGGCTACCTCTGGCGAGCACATGGAGGGCTGTGCGGCCCCCCAAAGAAATGCCACCCCACACCATGACTGACCCACCGCCAAACCAGTCATGCTGGAGGATGTTGCAGGCAGCAGAACGTTCTCCACGGCTTCACTACCTGAGCCACTTGTGTGGGTTGTAGACTCCGTCTCATGCTACCACTAGAGTGAAAGCACCGCCAGCATTCAAAAGTAACCAAAACATCAGCCAGGAAGCATAGGAACTGAGAAGTGGTCTGTGGTCACCACCTGCAAAACCAGTCCTTTATTGGGGGTGTCTTGCTAATTGCCTATAATTTCCACCTGTTGTCTATTCCATTTGCACAACAGCATGTGAAATTTATTGTCAATCAGTGTTGCTTCCTAAGTGGACAGTTTGATTTCACAGAAGTGTGATTGACTTGGAGTTACATTGTGTTGTTTAAGTGTTCCCTTTATTTTTTTGAGCAGTGTATATTTTATAACATCACATACTTTCACACTGGGCAGGTCACTTATAAGATGATTCCAGCCCCCCCCACCCTCATTCTCTACTGAATGGCTGTACTATTGAGTTAGTTGGTAGAACTCCAGCTTCGGCTAGAGGTGATATGTGAGAGAGAAGGGAGGAGGAGTGAGTCGGGGAAATTAGATTGAACTCCGTTAGAGAAGGGAGGTGAGACAGAGGAATGAGTTTTCAGCAGCTTCCTTC